TTCCCAGCATTAGGCCCTTCTCCAGTGAGTCCTTCCTTCTCATTAGGTGGCCAAAGTATTTGAGTTTCAACTTCAGGATCTGGCCTTCTAAAGAGCAGTCGGGGTTGATCTCTTCTAGGACTGACCGGTTTGAACGCCTTGCAGTCCAAGGGACTCGCAGGAGTCTTCTCCAGCACCATAGTTCAAAGGCCTCAATTCTTTGGCGCTCAGCCTTTCTTATGGTCCAACTTTCACAGCCATACATTGCAACTGGGAAAACCATGGCCTGGACTATACGCGCTTTTGTTGGCAGGGTGATGTCTCTGCTTTTTAGTATGCTGTCTAGATTTGCCATAGCTTTCCTCCCCAGGAGCGTCTTTTAATTTCTTGGCTGCAGTCCCCATCTGAGGTGATCTTGGAGCCCAGAAAAATAAAATCTGTCACTACCTCCATTTCTTCCCCATCTATTTGCCAGGAATTGAGAGGGCCGGATGCCATGATTTTGGTTTTCTTAATGTTGAGTTTCAAGCCAACTTTTGCACTCTCCTTCTTCACCCGCATCAAGAGGCTCTTTAGTTCCTCTTCACTTTCTGCCATTAGGGTGGTATCATATGCATATCTTAGGTTGTTGATATTTCTCCCAGCAATCTTAATTCCATCTTGTTTCATCTAGCCCTGCCTTTCTCATGATGTGCTCTGCATATAAGTTAAATAGGCAGGGTGACAGTATACAGCCTTGCCGGACTCCTTTTCCAATTTTGAACCAATCAGTGGTTCCGTGTCCAGTTCTCACTGTTGCTTCTTGACCCACATATAGGTTTCTCAAGAGACAAATAAGATGGTCTGGTACTCCCATCTCTTTAAGAACTTGCCACAATTTGTTGTGATCCACACAATCAAAGGCTTTAGCATAGTCAATGAAGCAGAAGTAGATGTTTTTCTGGAACTCCCTAGCTTTCTCCATGATCCAGCGTATGTTGGCAATTTGATCTCTAGTTCCTCTGCCTCTTCGAAATCCTGCCTGTACTTCTGGTAGTTCTCGATCCACATACTGCTGGAGTCTAGCTTGTAGGATTTTAAGCATAACTTTACTAGCATGTGAAATGAGTGCAATGGTGCGATAGTTTGAACATTCTTTGGCATTGCCTTTCTTTGGAATTGGAATGTAAACTGACCTTTTCCAATCCTGTGGCCACTGTTGAGTTTTCCAAATTTGCTGGCAAATTGAGTGTAGCACTTTTACTGCATCGTCTTTTAAGATTTTGAATAGCTCAGCTGGAATACTGTCACCTCCACTAGCTTTGTTGTTGCTCAGATTTTCTAAGGCCCATTTCACTTCACATTCTAGGATGTCTGGTTCGAAGTCAGTGACCATCTCATTGTGGTTATCTGGGATGTTAAGCTCATTCTTGTATAGTTCTTCTGTGTAGTTTTGCCATCTCTTCTTAATCTCTTCTGCCTCTGTTAGGTCTCTGCCATTTTGGTCCTTTATCATGCCCATCTTTGCATGAAACGTTCCCTTCATATCTCCAATTTTCTTGAAGAGATCTCTGGTCCTCCCTATTCTGTTGTTTTCTTCTATTTCTTTGCACTGTTCATTTAAGAAGGCATTCTTATCTCTTCTAGCTACTCTCTGGAATTCTGCATTCAATTGGGTGTATCTTTCTCTTTCTCCTTTGCCTTTCGCTTCCCTTCTTTCCTCAGCTATTTGCAAAGCTTCCTCAGACAGCCATTTTGCTTTCTTGCATTTCTTTTTCTTTGGGATGGTTTTAGTTGCTACCTCTTGTACAATGTTGCGAACTTCCATCCATAGTTCTTCAGGCACTCTATCAGATCTAATTCCTTAAATCTATTTGTCACCTCTACTGTATATTCATCAGGAATATGATTTAGTTCATACCTGAGTGGCCTAGTGCTTTTCCCTACTTTTTTCAATTTAAGCCTAAATTTTGCAACAAGAAGCTCATGATCTGAGCCACAGTCAGGTCTTGGTCTTGTTTTTACTGACTGTATAGAGCTTCTCCATCTTTGGCTGCAGAGCACATAGTCAATCTGATTTCTATGTTGACCGTCTGGTGATGTCCATGTGTAGAGCCGTCTCTTGGGTTGTTGGAAAAGAGTGTTTGTTATGACCATCGTATTCTCTTGACAAAATTCTATTAGCCTGTGCCCTGCTTCATTTTGTACTCCAAGGCCAAACTTGCCTGTTATTCCGGTTATCTTTTGGCTTCCTACCTTAGCATTCCAATCCCCCATGATGATAAGGACATCATTTTTTGGTGTTAATTCTGTAAGGTGCTGTAGGGCTTCATAGAACCGGTCAATTTCATCCTCTTCAGCACCAGTGGTTGGGGCATAGATTTGGATTGAAATGAATATAAGACTTAAATCTGGATAAGTGTGAAATTGGTGGAATTAGTTAATCTTTCTTGGCAAAAGATTATTGATGAAAACAAGGCAATTGCCTGTTTTGAAAACTGAAAAACGAACTGGTGCTGTTATCTAGTGGTGGATGAAAATATACAATTATAGATGCTGTAATACAGGAACTGGTAAGCCCAGAAAAAGATAACTTGTTTTTTTTTGACCTTTAACACTTTAACTAAACAAAGAAAGAAAACATTTTGGGCTATCTATAATGCAAGAACCATAAAACCTAGGAAAAAAATTGACCTTCCTGGATTATAAAGACTTATTGAACTGTGAGTCTAAAGCTCTAAAGGAAAACTTTGATTTTTGGCTATCACAGAACATCAGAGATCTGCAGAAAAAACATATCAAGAAAAAACAAATACTTTCCAGGAGTAAATGTATATGTTACACTAATATAAATGACAATGACTTCAAAGCATGAGGAAATTAAAAATAACTTTGAAAATTTAAACGAACACATCTTCAATTTAACTTCGCAACAAAAAAACTCTCAGAAAATAAAAAAGAGAGCGATCAAGTAAAGCAGACAACTGAACATAAACCAGAGGAAAGAGATCTAAAAATGGAATTCAACAATGGAAGGAACTATGATTTAACTCAGGTGGAAAAAACTTGCAGGAAATATTGGACATGGAAAAGACAACTTATACTTCAAGATTGCAAAGTCTAAGGACAAGAAAAAAGATTCAACAAAATGGATTACAGAGCTGTCAGGAGAACTACGAGAATTTGAGAGACAAAGAAATGGTAAGAGAAACTAAGAGAGAAAGAAAGAGATTTTCAAGGAATACAAAGGGGCAAACATTCCCATAAAAATACCTTACTTGACTTGTCTCTTGTACTTACAACAACATCTACAAAACTATGGGAAGACCTTTTGGTCCAGCGGAGATATTGATTAGGAAAGATGTTTGGCAAAAAAAAAAAGGCTAAAATTAGAATTAAGAAATTATGGTGGGACTTATCAGATGGAATATTCAAAGATTAAGCACCTGTTTGAATCTGGTTAAAGAAATAAAATTTTGTATATAAATGAATTTTAGTTTAAGAGCGATAGACTCCTTAAGTAACAGTATTTTTTTATGATATGAGAAATATAAAAATGTTAGGATGATTTATATGAGGGAAATATTTTAGATATTTTAGGCGCATGATCGACCGACATGGCGCACCTTAGTGTACCAGGGTTGCCAGACATATGAACACAGAAGGACAATCTTGGCACAAGAGAAGCGAGCACTCTGCAAAGCCAGAAGTAACAGTGTCTACATTTCTTTGTTCAGTATATGGCAGAACATTCCGTGCTAACATTGGTCTTATTAGCCACCTACGGACACATCGTTGATGGCCCATAGCCCACAAGATGTCAAGGTCTTCATCGAAATCGATGGACGAACAACAATTTTAGATACTCAAATGTAATGGATTTTGAGAAAATTTCAATTAATAAAAATGTTTTGAATAGTTTGAAAAGATTAGCTATGGATTTATTAGACTGAATACTTAAAGATTAAATATTTGTTTGAATATGGTTAAAAAGAATAGAAAAAATTTAAATAATAACTTTAAAAACAGGATCTATGTTAAGGTGATTAAGATGATTAATTAGAAAAGAAGCTTCACAATGATGTTGTTACTAATAGAAATACTAGAAAAATGTTTATATTCAATTGTTATCTATTAAAATACTAATAAATGTACTAATTTAAGGTTTATAAATGAGAATATTATTGGAAGAAGATAAAATCAAGGAAAGCTACTATGTGGTTTACCGAATTATAGAGACTAATTGTTATTGATTGTTTGTAAATATAAACCCAGACAACATACTGTTTACCAAATATTGTGATTATGTTAAAAAAATTAATAAAATATATTTTAAAAAAAGAAAATATTTCTGTATATGAGCTAATCTCTTTTACTTAACGATGGAATAAATTGATCAGGCAGATTTTTCTTTTAAAAATGGTTCAAGTAAATTAAGAGAGGGGGTTATTTAGGAAAAAAGTGCCATCAGATTTTACATGAAAGGCTGTGCAATGTAAAATTCAAGCAATTGCAGATTCATTTAATTCAGAACTATCTAAAAAAATTATGTTGCACACAAGTGTTTTCTTTAGCTGTCTGTGAATAAAATTTGGATACAATTAGTTTCTCCCAAGGCTAGAAAGATTAAACAAAAACAAAAGCAAAATTATAGATCATATATAGTTTTCAAAAAAAAACAAGGGCTTCTATCCAGTTTGCCTTATTTTTCCCCTAATTGAAAGTTTGCTTTTATAGCACTCTCTTGCTTGCTGATTTGTGGACTTTGTTCTTTACTTAAAGTTGCCAGAATCTAGGCTCCATTCAATTAAGGGCCATTAAAATTACTTTGGTTTTAAACACCACATTTTTTTTAATGTTCAAAATGAGAGACAGCAGAGTTTGTACTTTAATTAAAGGAGAATATATTTCAATACAATGTGAATCTAGTATGTCTCTAGAGTGGTTTCCAAAAATGACACAGTGTCTATATGCTGTAGATGCTGCACCTTTAAATAATTAAGTTAATGTAAAGCAGCTGAGGGGAGGATTCATTTGCTTACTTGTATCCAGCTGTTGGCCTTCAATTCCAGAGGGTTCTGTGGTTCACCACTGTACAGACAACATAAGCAGCACATCAGAATCTTCTGGCATTCATCTGTGGTACCAATCCAAATAAGGATATTTTTTTTAAAAAATATCAAAGCAGAACAAGAAGATTCTTTTGCTCATTTTAATAAACAAAAACAAACAAACAAACAAAAAACAAGGACAAAGTAAATCTTTATGGTTATTTTTCTTCTATTCCATTCTTTCTAAGCCATTCCATTCATCACATATAGACTATTTCATTCTTCCTTCTCTTAATATAAAACATATTTTTATGTATTTGGAGATGGGTTTAATTGATTGTCTTGCTGATTCAATATGAACCTAGTTAATTGTGACAAACTTAAATCTGATCCGTTTCAATCTAGCTAGCTTGTTCTGAATCAAGCCACCTTATTTTTTGCAACTTATTTTATTGATAGTTTTATCACAAAATGTATTTATATACATAGAACAGTTTTATGACATTAAATTCAAATTTGTGCATTGTTTTATTTTTCTAACATAAAAACTAACCCTGAATATCTCTTTCCTCATAAATAATTACCTTCATCAAAACAAACAGGTCCCCTAAGGGTCTTTACATTAATTTTTGCCTGGTAAATAAGCAGCTGTCAAAGCAAAATGTTTGCTAGAGAAGACTATTTGTTTGGGAGATGCATGCAGCCCAGCTCCCCTCAACCACTATTGACTGTACTCCCCCAATAAAATGAAATTTAGAGCCGCCATTTTACTGCTCCATTTTCTGTGCTACTGACAGCAATGAAAGAAAAGCCGATATAATAAAAGTACTCAAAGGTTGGTGTATTGAAACCTTTAATTATAACTGTTCTATTAATAAAGAATTCCTCTCAAATAGTCCAAATTCAATCATTCAAAACTTGTCACCCTATAAAAAAAACCCTGTAAAACTGTATGTTAAAACTCTATATGTATTAATAACCATTTAAATCCTAAGACAATTTTGCTGTATTAGATACTATTTCCTTACAATGGTATCGTATGTGAAAGGATTTTGATGTGCATGGTTTCTTCACAATGATATAGCAAGTGTTAAAGTAGGACCATTGTTACCAGTCCTGCTTGTTTATGTGTTTACATCAGTATTATATTGCCAACTGCAGAAGATAACCTACAAATTACAAGAAGCCCTTGAGTTATGACCATTTGTTCAGTGACTGTTTAAAGTTATGGTGAGTCTGAAAAAAATCATACCTTCTCTTGGTTTCTGAAGTTACAGCCATTGCAGCCCCCCTTGCGATCAAAATTTGCATACTTGGTAACCTGCCGACATGACTGCAGGGATGTTTCATCTCCCCCACCCACCTATTCTCCAAAACATCAGAGGGCAGGACAAGAAACAATGGTTGGAAATTGATCAAAGAGAGAAGCAACCAGGAATTATGGAGAAACTTCCTGAGAGTGAGGACAATTAACCAGTGGAACAGCTTGCCTTCAGAAATCGTGGGCACTCCATCACTAGAGATTTTTAAGAGGCTAGCTAGACGGTCACTTGTCTGAGATAGTAGGTTCTCCTGCTCAAGCAGGGGGCTGACTAGAAGACCTCCCAGGTCCCTTCCAGCTCTATTCTATTCTATTCTATTCTATTCTATTCTATTCTATTCTATTCTATTCTATTCTATTCTATTCTATTCTATTCTATTCTATTCTATTCTACTCTACTCTACTCTACTCTACTCTAATTTCCCCCTCATTTCTGCTCTTCTGGCTCCCTGCACTCTGTAGCCCCTATTGCCCCATGCTTTGCATGCCCAACTGACCTTTACCATCTTCTTGCTCCTACTACATGCCCAGCCTGGTTCTCTGCAAGGCAGCCTTGCACAGTCAGCAGCTGCCTCGCAAAAGACTTGATCAGGCACGCATTGCTTAACGATACAAGTTTCAGTCCCAATTTCCATTGTAATTCAAGGAGTACCTGTATATAAATCTGCTCTTATAAATCTTTGGATTCTATAAATATTCCTTATGATCCATTTTAAAACTCTGTGAATGGATTTTGTTTTTTTCAAGGCCCTTTGACGAATTATTTTTTCATTATTTTGGGCAACTGTTGTTTTCATTACAAAATCCTTGACTGTAAACTTGATGCCAATGAATGTATATGGTTTTATGCTAGATGGACCACTGTCTGATACTTACACTGAAAGTATAATTTTAAGAAACACTCCCATAATTATCAATTATTTTAACAAAACAAGTTATAAACACTCACCATATCCAATGACAAAAGGATTCCAACAGAGTCTTCCCAATAACTGACCAATTAATGGAAATTTTTGAACTGCAGTTGTCGAGTTCTAAAATTAAAGAGAATGCTTAGTCTTGAAATTAGTGCGTGCCAAAACATATTGACTGCCCACAACGATAAGGGATTGGGAAAATGAAAATTAAGGCCAGAGCATCTTCAGAAGTAAGTGCTGCCTAAATGTAGATAATACTCAAGATACAGCAGTAATAGAGTCTGCTCATTATGATCACATAACAGCAAAGATAATAATCACTTCTCACTACAATCACTTCTCACTACACTTCTCAGATTTGATCCACATTTGGAACAATCCCTAGACATTGTAGAGTCAAATACAGAAGGCCCATCTGAAGCCCAATTTTATAAGTAATTCAGTACAATTAAAAAATTTCAGGGGAAAAAGTTATGTCCTCAGAAATATAGGCAATTGCTAACAAAATAATTTTTTCAGTAGCTAATCTGCCACTTGTTATTTTATTAAAAATACTTTCCTGACCATTTACATTAATTTTATACGTTAACTGCTTATTATCAACAAAATATATTTTAGTGCACACAGCATATAACAATACCCTAATTAATTGCAATTTGTCTTCTACAAATTATTGCAACCTAATAATAGAGAAGCAAAATAGCAGCAGCAAACTAGATATTTACCTGTGATAACACAATGGTGATCTGAAAACATTTTGCAAGCAGTAACAATAAAGTTAATAAGCCAGCAGACTCCATGGTTTAAAAGGTCACTTATAATTTTATAAGTTAAGGATCTGTATCTAATGGAATATGTGACCTGAGAATAAGAATTAAATGCTTGTTTATTTTAAGGTATTTTTAAAAAGCTTGCTGCATTGAATAGGAAATCTCATGTGAGAATATAACCAATCAAAAAGAAAAGGCTCATTTCATAATAAATCAGGAACACAGGAAACACATTCCTGTTTGCATTACCTATGGCTGTTTCTCCAATTTGCTTCTATGATCCAGTAATACATTAGGTCAGTACTACAAGGCTCTCTGCTACTGTTAGCTTTTTATCTTGTCAAAATGTGGGGTGCAGAATGTTTCTGTAACAGTCTTCAAAACAGTTCATTCTTTCAGTTAATTCACTTACCATATGTTTCAAAGCTCCATAAATCTGCAGGAGAAATTCCTGTAATTCAGGCAAGTGAAGGCAGACATCTTGCTGAGATTCTAAAGTGGTGATCTGATCCCACTGAAGAGTCTTGTTCAGCCAAAACTCAATGCTTGAGTTAGAGACTCCACTATCTTCAACCATTCTGTCATCTTAAAAAAAAAAAAGGGGGGGGGGAAACAAATGAAAAAAGACTTTCTCTTAGCAACTATTAATAATTTTTATTACATTATGAGATACTGAATTAAAAATATGTACAGCTTTTATGATGAGATGCATTACCATAGTAGTTCCTAAAAGGAAATGGCTTTGTGTGTGAAAACTAAGAGGGAGGGAATAAAAAGCAATCCTTATATCAAAATGCTAGCACTTGTCCTTTTGTTTTTATTTACTAAATAATATTTTATGACAAGAACAGAAAAATAGAATTGTTACCAATGATTAAGGAAACATACACTGGCATGCAAAATCCATAGCCAGCAAGAAACAAATGCAGTCAGGATTCAACTTTTAAACTAAGGACATCCTTGAGCTGCAATACTTCATCCAGAAACCACATGTTTGGAACAAAAGAAACACTGTTAATTCTCAGCATTCACAAATCCAAAAGCTTTTAAAATAAAATGAATCATAAATGTCCATATAATATGCATATTGACCATAAACTAAATACAATTCTTGCACAGAAGGGGTAACTCCTTCCTTCTATCCTTCCTTCTCTCCGTCCCTCCCTCCCTCCCCACTCCCTCCAATGAAATACAGTCCAAGTTCCCACCCTACTCTTTAACCAATTTAGCTGGACATTTTATACAAATAATTCCAAGAATTACCATTTGGTGCATATTGGTTAGCTTATAAACATGATCCTAGTTCAATACATACTCAAGGGGTTTAAAGATTGGCAAGACAGCAGTACTGTTCATAAAGATTTTTCATAGCTTCTTCCACCCTTAAGTCTTTTTTCTCCCACTTCCCACAGGTATAACTAATGAAGACAGAGTAGATTTCTTATAAATGTTGTACACCCATCTTTAACACAATTTTGCAAATGTCAGATCCCCAGATGTTAAATGTACATTCATAAGTAATGTTACTAATTCTGCAAAGATTAATATAAGATGACCCTTAAAGAGATAATTTTTAACAGATTAGTGAACAAATACAATTGAGCCCTGTATGGTTTCAGAGAAAGCTGAGGGCTGTGCCTGCCAATTTACTGCATGGTAGTTTCTCAGTTTACAAAATAGTAAAAGAAAAAGGCTTAAAAGGCTTTTACAATGAATGAAATCTTGGTGCTACAAAAACATAAAAATTAATAGGCAAATCCCTTTTTCCATTTCATTTGAAATATTTAATATACCTGCATACTTCCCAATAGGCCAAGAAAAACAATGATTTCACTCATACTATGCATGCCACTCAAACATTGGTCTAGCCCTTTCCAAGAGGCTAGCAAAGATCTATACTATTAAAACTAAGTGAAACCAAGGAAGGAAATGAGAACATTTTGGGTAGGGAATGTTTAGGCAGAACACTTTAAAATCAAAATGGCGCTATGTGCATTTAACTTTGGTGGCACTGAAGAATGGAAGGCATCTGGGCTACTAAGGAGCTTCACGCATACACCCCAAGGCACAAAAATAACTCAAATGCCTTCAGTAACTGAGATAACAAAACATTTTAGAAACTCATGCAGATTTACACAAAGCCAGTCAGGACAATCTACAACCTTAATGAAAGCATTTCAAGGAAGTAAGAAGACCAAACTGATGTCTTGAAAAGGGATTCTTTTAAAAGGAAATGAGTTGGCAAAGATTCTTCTGACTTAATACTCAGAGATGTTCAAGGTGAAACAACAGGATTCTGTTCATGCTATAAAAGCAGTTGAAAAATGACCCACAGTATAAGGTTGCTTGGCACATTAGTTCTTAATAGAGTTATTAGCCATAAATTATGGATGGGAATGATCGTGTAACCTATGCCTTTGAAGCAAAAAAATTACTCCTTCTAGTTTATTTTCTGTTTTCTTAATTAATATTTATGCTGCTATAGATACGAATATCCTCTTCTCCAATTGTATAGAGCCCACTACTGACTGAGATGTTCTTGATAATTGTCATTCCACTCAAGTTACTTTAGCCTTTCTGGAAGAGAACAAAGTAGACCTTTGCTCCTCCTACTTCAGGCAAATTCTTGTTGTTCTCTAGTTTTAGAAGCAGGATACCCTGCAGAGCAATGAGGTATTTGTTATATCCTTCAGACTCAGGAAGCAGCATTTCTAACATGGAACAGATTTATATTGAGTGAATTCTCTGGATTAGGGTCTGAATTGTAACACTTTAGTTACAATTTACATCAGTAACTTACGTTAATAGTTTTAAAGGCAATCCACCAATCAGTATCAATTATGGTCTGTATATTTAGAAATATCAGATCTGGGCTGAGAAAATCTAATAGATAGACAACTAATAGATATCAAAGAGCTAGGTTTTCTTTATCTGGATTTTTGCAACCCAAATCTATAAATGTTTGTTATAAAACAAAATGATAACAGAAGCATTTAACCAATATATTAAACTGATAAATTTTAGAATGTATTCTCTGAGTAAATTATCTTTAGTCAAACTCAACACCTGGATTATTTGGACATATTCATATAATTTTCTTGGCAACAGTACAGAAATTGTTTGCTACTAAGCTGTTTTTGGACTTCACATTCCAGTCTAGACCCTTAGGAATTCACTGAGCATTTTTTTCCAAAGTGGACAATTAGTCATAGGGGAGGAAATGGCATCACACAGTAAGAACAGACTACAGTACATATTTCCTTTCAAATAATATTTTTTAAAAAGTATAGTGTATAAAACAGAACAATCCATAATTTTATATTTAATAACAATAATTATAATGTTAATCAATAAGATCATTCCTTTATTTAAAAATAATAATAAATCAAGAATGTATCTAATGATGATTTTGCAAAACAGGAACCACAATTTAAAAACTCTTTTTCCCCCACTGTAATTCCTTGTTCCAGTCCTTCCAGGCAGACTTATCTTGAGAGATGAGAAATCTTTAGAATATTATTAAATATGGCATAGATAATTGTAATACAGCTCAATGCTGAGTATTTTATCTTAGTGGAAATACTTTCTTCTAATGCTAAGTTAGATATAATACAATGAAACAAAATTAGAAAAGCCAAATTGTTTATAATTCAGATATGAAAACATATAATTTATGATGTAACAAATGGGGGCTTGAATGAAATAAAAAAATCACATGGTAAAACTGGTATTTTTAATGAAATATAGAGTGCTTTCATTAATATATTGATCAAATAAATGTTTAAAGTTACTAGAAATGCTAATTTTGAATTTACAGTTGAAAATTTGAAACACATGCCTAAAAAAATATCCAAGTATGAAATATTATATGCTGTATAGTCTTCCTTTAGATACAGAAGATGCTCTCATTATCAAAGGCAGCTGAAGCTTCTTAACCCCTCCCCACCCCACCCCCCAAAAAATCAAAATGTAAAACTCTAAACTAAAATGTAACAATACCATGTGCCCTAAGAGGGCACAGTCTACATTCTAATGTATAAACCCCTGCATATTTCAATTACAAGTGAATTTAAAAAAAAAAAAAATCTAATTATTTTGTACTGCTCAATAGAAAAAGCAGGTCACAATGGTCTATTTTGGATAAAAAGCAGTAAGGAAGCGAAAAGCATTTACATTTCTCCATGCAATACTTCTCTAAAAATTCTATTGCAGTTTTTTTAAGGAAATGAAAAAAAAAAAACCAAGAAAGTCAAATGGTAAAAAATCAAAGTAACTGGCAGAAATGTTTTAAAATATATATAATCTATCTGAGTGGAATCAGATGGTATTATCCCATTCCATGATGAAGGCTGAGAATTAGGCTCCAACTCTAGAATTATTTCAAGGGCCTAGGTTTCTAAATATTCCACGATGAAGAAAAAAATAATTAAAGTTCAATGATCAGCAGAATCAGTGTGTGCAATGAATGCACAAAAGTGTCTTTCACACAATATGCTCAGGGTATTGCTGATAAAAGGACTTCCAGAACAAGAAATGGCAACGTTAAGACAGTTCTGCAAAAAGCAAAGCCAATAATAGCAGCAAAGAACCAAGACCTGGTAAGTAGACAGGTTCTTCGGCTTCTCTGGAGAAGGAGGAAAGGAGATCGCCCTCAGGTACTCCGGACAATCACTCCTTACAAGAAGCTTGCAAGATTGGTCTCCAGTGGGTTTTAAGCAGTAGAAGACAAGAGGATAGCCATCTTGCTCAAAGTATGGTCAGCATCTGTTAAAAGGATATTAAGTTTACCTATTTCCTTTTCTAATCACATTTGGAAATTCGTGTTAACTCCTTTTCAGCTATTAGATACCTTCGGATCAATGAGTCTGAAAATACTGGGTGAGTCAACAGAAACAACAGAAGAGGAACAGATTTCATCCAACAAGACAGAGAGAGAGTTAACACTGAAAGTGGAAAGACAATAAGATGATATGGAAAAGATATCTTATTGGACAGATAAAAGAAATTGGTTGATGCTTTAAAAATCTAAGGTGAATTACAAATAATAAATAGAGTGAACTTGATTTACAAAGGAGGTTTGTTAAAGCTTGAATCTTAGTATTAATTTAACACTAAGCAAATATGTATTGGCCTTTTTCAGAGTCTGATTTGGTGCCCTCCCATCAACTCTACTTGAGGCAAAAATTTCATGGTATTCCCTATTCAGAGAGGTAGAAACTCTCATCCATGTTCTCATACGGTCTCCTTTCTATGGTACCCCAAGATGTGCTATGATTGCCCCAATCATTTCCAAACAGAAAGGCCGTACAGATACATTTTATGTTTATTATCTTTGAAAGGATGCTAACCCTACACTCACATATCAGGATCTGTTTTTATTGTCCTATTATTTTTCCCTTCCCCTATAACAATTGTTGTGTAAAACTCTCTCTTTTTACTATACCTTTCTGTTGTAAAGCTGGTCGAAAACTGTAATAAAGCTATTTGGATTTAAAATTTCTAGCAATCCTTAATGGGATTTTTCCGACACCAGGACTGAAATGATGATGTTTTATGGATTTGTTTATAGATAACAGGTGGAATGAAGAGATAATTGGTTGTAAATTAAGAGGTGAAACGTTAAATTGTTCATAATTGTATTAAAGTTTGAAAGCCACTTCTTTATATATTTCTTTTCTCTTTATTGTGTCTTTTTCTTTTCTTTCATCTAATTTTTTTCCCTTTGCTTCACACTTTACACTTCTAGTATTTTACACTTTACACTTCTAGTATTAGTTTTTATTATTACAATTAAAATCTTTAATAAATATTTTGTTAAAAATGCTCATAGTAGTTAAATTCCATGTTATTTAATGCATTTTGCCTAAAATTATTACTCTTTTGGAGAAAGGATCTCCATATAATCTGGTCTAGGAGAAACACACTAATGCAGAGGCGTCAAACTGCCAGCCCATGGGCTGGATGCATCACGAGGAAACTGCGCCCACCTTATTGCCGGCAATGCAGGAAAAGTTCCAATACATCATGTGATATCACGTGACATCGCGAGTTTGACATGTCTGCCATCAAAGGCAATCACCATCTCGTCTGACTTGATCTTTTATCTTGGATTGTTTGCCTGATATGTTCACACACAATATTAAGATATCACATTCTTTAACAAAGAATTAGAGTTACATTTATACCATTTAGATAGCTGTATGAAAGATATTAAAACAAATACAATAGCAAAATATGGAGAAGCAATGAAATCTAAAGTTAGATCACATATTATCTCAAGAAAAGTGATTTAATTTTCATATTATAATTGTTTACTGAAATTGTTCACTGAACATCTTAGTCATTTGTGGATACTACGAAGAATGATGTTAGATTTTCAGGATTTTGTATAAATGCCATTCCACAAGAAGACCAAAATGAAAGTATTTGTTTAGCAAATCTATTTCCATCCAAGAGATGGCAGTGACAGATCATCTGTAAATAACTAAAACCAAAGGAGGAAATATAAGCTTAGGGCAGCCCCTAGACAAAATAAATTGCCAATAAGATGTTAACATTTGTCCAAAGAGTAGTTGTATTATGGCCATTGTTACTTTTAGATTCTTAAATTCCAGTTAAAACGTCTACTAGATAAAAGGTCTTTGTTCTACAACTGTTAATGAAAAATTAGAAATTATTCATTAAAGAGCTAAGCCAATAGAGAGAAATATGGCAAATGGATACTTGCTGGATGACTTTAGGCCACTCTCTCAGCTGAAACAAATTGTCATGAGAATCTTGGAGGGAATACTAAGTATACTGCTTTGAGTTCATGGGCAAAGGCAGAATATAAATCTAGCAGATAAATTCACCTCTCATTATCTTACCTACAGATATCTGTAGCGGATTGTCAATAAAAATAATCAGCATCCACACCTAAAAACTGACAATACACTCTGAATTTGGGTATTGCTTGCTTTGCTCTGAATTGAGGATTAATTGCTTTCCTTCATATAAAGAAATAGTTGTCATTTAAATACCATGCATGAACATTCCCAATTTCCACATTTTGGATTTAATTCCATAACACAGCATCTACCAGTCTTTAATGGGGGCAATATTTCTTGCAGGTAGGACGGTTCAAAATTCAGCAATAAACTGCACCGTAAAGTGAAGATTTGAACCTAGCTCTTCCTGGCTGTAGTTCATCAACTAACCTGGATATTCTTATAAGAAGGTCAAAAAGGTCATTCCTAATACTAGTTGGCTTGATCTTCACTTACAGAGATGATGAAAAAGAAAATGCCCCATTTTTAGCCTTTCTCTTACTTTGCAACAAAACAAAGCCAACTTGGTTCAATGTCTTGTAGGGAGACTACAACCATCAATAGTTATTAATCATGAGGATTATATACAGTATTAGCATAAACATGAAATGTATCTCAATAGCAGCTGCGGCACAATGCAAGCAAGTGCATTGTAATTGTTTCCTCATACATGGTATTATACATATATCTGATTTGCAACCTGCCCAGAAGCTTCAGTTTGCACAATAAGGGAAGAGAATGATAGGAAATATAATATCAAGCATTTATCTGATTTATAAGGAAGCGTATTTGTTCAAAGCATCCTTGAACAGGTTACTTAAATCAAAAAAGAATGAGTGGGGAGAAATGGCCATTGTCTCCCCCCCCCCAACTTTTCTTTACAGTACTGCTTTTACATGGTTCCAAAGCTAAGCAATTTGCTGCTATATCATTGTGCACAGAATTACAATATAGGATATGCTGTCCTTTCCTCCAGAAAAAAAAATATTTATTCAATTATTCTTACAAACTGTCTACTCCATACAATTCCAAGTGGCTTATAATGCTAAGATTACAATTACATGTAACCACTTCCAGCCAAAATGCAGCAGTATGCATAAATAACATCTTTCCATCCATAAAAATTTAACCAAACCAATAAAAATCATCTGTCAAACAACTGACAAAAGGACAGACTTTGGGCTCACTTTCCTGGTTTGCTGCAGGAATGGGAAGATATTAATAAAGAATATAATACATGAAGGTTTTAAAAATCTTTATAAAATCCCCTTATACTGTATCTCTTACTCCACTTCATTACATTCAAGGCACTGTTAAAATTTAAGAGATTAAATCATGTTTGATGCTAAACAATTCCTCCATGTGACAATACTGTGTGGTTCAGCAACAATTTTCACGACAAAATGTAAGGCTGTTGCTTAAATCATCCTCCTCTCTTGTATTTATTTGGCATGAGGAACTAGCATTAAGAACTAGAGGATAGGGCCCCCAGGGAAAGGACAATCCTTTCTATTTCCCATATCCCCTAATGCTACTCCAGTGAGTCATTGGAGGAAATCCACGAGGTAGCAAAACCGAACCATTCAACTCAAAGATCCAGACAAAGAGAAAATCATTAGAGAGCTTAGTGTTATGTGTTAGGGATTACAACACAAAATTGCTCACAAGAAGGGTGCCAGAAGAATTAAGATGGCCATTGCGACTATCCGCCTTTTGACTTTTTTGACACATATACTCCCCTAACCAAGAGTTCTGGAAGGGGAACACTAGCATTTCTCTCCGCTCTTACATGTTCAACTTTATGTAAAGACATACAAATAAAGCATTTCTGTTAGCAGAACAACAGCCAATAGTTCCACCTCACCCGTCGTGGTACCAAAACAACAGCCAGGCGGGTAGCATGAGCAGGATGACCCTGCTAAGACGCTACGAGGCCTTTGTACCAGCTCTTTCCCGGGAGCGAAGCGCGCTTTATTTCGTCCGGTGGCGGGAAAGCAGCTCGGCGTCGTTTCTTTCCCGCGCGCTCTCTGCCACGCCCCCCTCGCGGAGAGAGGCTGCGCGAGAGGCGCAAAATTCCGTTTTAGTTCTGCCCAGGAGGAAGTCGAGGGTATTTGGACTGAGGGGGTCGAGGAGGGTGGTGGAAGTACGAATAGCCAGGCAAATTATGCCCTTTCCTATGTCCTTCATTCTAGCCTAAATCTGCGGTTATCTTTTTTTCCTGCCATTCTTTTAAAGGGAAGTGCGCTATCACAACTACCTTTCTCCCTGTCATTTTCTATGCAAGCCCGGTTTTCCATCCCACTCCACGGTGGGGAAATAGTACAAGGCTGGAGACCTTCACGAGCTCCTTATTTTGCGAGGCCCGCTGATGCTCAGGCCAGCGCCGGAGAATGCGGGGGACAGACCGGCGTGGAAATCTTTGCGTGGAATAAGTTTTTTCCCACCGTTTAGGAGAGGAGAAATGCAATTGTAACGGGGAAGGAAGAAACCTAGAGGGAAAAATGTAAATTCTAGGAGAGCGAAGACGTCCGAATGATTCCCAATAATTCCGCGAGGGGCAAATGGGGTTATTCAACTCAGGAGAGGCGCTGAGCTCAAGTTCAAGGGGAAAAAATCAGTCTAGGGCAGGCGCTAGAAGTCGAAACCGAGTTAGTGACACATCAGTTAATTTGGTTCACGTACATCACATTGTGGGCAATCAATATTTACTCGAACCAGTCAGAAAACACACGGGTGTTACAATCCAAGCAGCTTTTACTGAAACGCAAGGAAATGCAAAGCGCAGCTCCACGAGCGCATTTCCTCCCCATTAAACAAAATGTGTGTGTGGGGGGGGTTCCCCTTCTGAATCAGTGCGCAGAGGAGCCGAGTCCGTGGCAGTATTCACCGCCGCTCCCTTTTTTTGTCCTTCCGTTATTTCGATATTTAACTTGCTTCTTGCCTCAACCGAGATCTCAGCCCAGGGCTCTGCAGCCGCTTTGCTCCGACCCCTACGAAGACGCTCCCGCTCCCCCGCAACTCACCAAGGCTGCCACCCGCCCAACTTTCAAACCTTCCTTGCAGGAGGAGATGCGGAGAAGCCGCCGAACGGCAGCCTGTGCGGCCAATGACCGCTGGGTGAGGATGTTGCTCCTCCCGGCGGTTTTCTTGAGCCAATCTAAAGCTCAGAAGGTGGGATTTCCTTGCCTTGCGCGGCCTTAACCCCTTGAGCCCCTGGGAGGTTAAGCGGGGAGGCTGATTAAAAGGCGGGAAAGTTGTCGTTTGGATGTCAGTTCAATATCAGTCCGAAATTTTAGGCTGACAGTTGCGAAAGATAGAGTCTTAAAACAATCTGAGTAGCGAAACTCGTGGCTACGATACGGAACGTAATTATTTTAGCTCTTTGGCTTTCTTTTCCATTTCCCCCACCCTGCTGTTGATGCCATTGCTGGTGAACAGATTAGGTTTAAGCTAGGTCCTTTGTGATCAGGCAAGCAAACTTGAAAGCGTTTGTTTATCAAATTTAGACACCGGACTTTCACTATACAAGTGACTCTGGGTGACTATCAATGAATAGATTATGTCTGTTGGTCCAGAAAGTATGGATCTGACTGACAACTAACTGATCAAACATCCAAGATGAGCGTCCACAATCAGTTTGGCCAAAAGCAATAAGGATCCTGTAATTTTAGTACCTTAAGTGCAAGGAGGCAGAGGATATAATGTAAACCCAAAGGAAGCATGGAGGGAAGTTGCAAAGAAGTGTCCACTGCCTACAGTGGACCATATGTGGCAGTCCCACTAGAAATATTTAAACCAGATGGGCAAGTGTATTTTTGGAAATATGATGTCTGTGTATCCCAGAACTTCAATTTATAGTGCTTTGTAAGTGATAATCAGCACTTTGAATTAGGTCTGGAATTCTATTGTTAACCAATGCAATGATGTAAAACAAAATGCATTTTTTTTTTTACAGTGGGGAGGTGGGGTTGCCTAGCCATAGTTTAGCTCACTATATTTCAAACTTGGCAACTTTAAAACGAGTGGACTTCAACTCCTAATGTGTTGCTGGGAAATTCTAGGAATTGAAGTCCACACATCATAAAGTGCTTCTGTGAGGCCACCAGAACCTCCAAAAATTACACAAGAATAGGGCATGTTTCATGTGGTTTGCAGAGGCTGTGGGAGACCATTCTCTGAAGTTGCTTCAGAAACAAAGGCCTTTGTGTGTCTTGAACCAGCCTCCATTAAGCTGCTGGAGCCTATTAACAGGAGAACACTGCTGAAGGTGAGTGGCGTGCAGTAGATGGGGAGTGCTGGGCTGTGGAGTCAATAGTAGTATTCCCAAGGGTCTCAAACCTGGGTGAACAGTGCAAGGCAGCCTTGTTGAGTGGCAGCAATGGTAATAGGGCTAAAGTCAGACCCAGCCTCAATGTTACTGCTGGGTACTGCTGGTTAGAGTGGCCTAGATGGGGGGGGGGGATACAAAATTGATTTATTTGCTTTGGTGTGTGTTTGTGTATGTGACACGCCAACAAAGAGGCCACTGTTCTGGACTGACAATTTTGATATGTTAATATCCTGGGTGGCAACTTCCTTTAGCTTCAAGATATCTTCTATGGACATTCAATGCCCCAAGTAGCCTTAATGCTTGAAGATAATCATAACAAATCATTAATTTGCCAGTCAGGTATTGGTGTGGTTCCATCAGAATTATAAAAAAAAAGATTTTAAAGAATTCATCGCATAACTCAGGTTGTAAGATGTAAAATTGATGTTATTGTTGTAGGGAATGGTGCCTCACCATCATGGATCAAGTGAGAAAAATAAATTATTAACTTCAGCGCAGCAGTGTGTGCAACTTTTTAATTCCATTTTTGTAATATTTTTCCTGATGTAGCAATTTGCAAGGAAGATTAATTTTTTTCCTTCTGTCAAATTATCAGTCTTAAATGTTCTCCACTTAATGAAGCAGTGAGGTCCATCAGCTGCATTACTGGATTTAATTTCCTTTGTGTCAAAACAATAGATATTTATGGTGCCTTTCAATATCTATTTAATATTATAAGTGGAACACAGCAGAAACTAATGGAAATTTTTACAGCAGGCAACAAATTTGTCTCATTGGTTTTCTGGAGAGAGTTATTTTAGTTCAGTGCATTTTGCTTTGACAAAACTCTACTAGTTTAAAACTCTGTAGCTGGCTCCAAATGGCTCCTTCCCATTTTTTTTCAAATTCCATAGGTTATAATATTTCAAATACTGGATAAAAATTCTTGTAACAGGAAAGGAAATACTGCCAATAAATCAATGAATCTAGCACTTAAGAAAGGATATTGTCATTTTATCCCTCTTTATATTAAGAAACTACATAAATTCTTTGTCATTCCAGATTGATTGTATCTTTGGCCAAACTAGAGTGTAGTAGAAATTAAATTAGGAAAAGATTAAGGATATAAGTAAAACAAATAAAGTAAAGTAAAAACTTAAAACAAAGTACAACCCCTTAACTACTACTGCACTCACCAACATAGCTTAATATATATTTGCTTCCTATTGTCTCTTAAGAAAAAGTGGTTCAATTCTTAATTCTAGTTGGTGGTATCAATTTGGACAACTTTCTTGCAGAGAAAACGTGTACTTATACATGTAACTAATTACCTTAATTTGGCAAAAAAGGCCCCAAAAAGTAGACCAGAAGAAAAAATTAGTTAATTATAGCATAATCTCATTTTGATGCATCAGTCGAGGGTTTATTCTTTACAAATGGCATGTTGAATATAAGAGTTGATCATTATGGCAGTTTATATCATCTTTGTGATGTCATACAAATGCAATGGCATTCATGTCATTGGTATAATTATATCATTGATATGAATTACCTCAGATGGTGAAACTGCTGTTCAGAAAGTCTGCTGTATCGAAGCCTATACAATTAAGATTAACCTTGTAATAATTTTCTTTTTTTCTTGCTATTGCTGTAAACATTAACATTTTTCTTCATTTTTGTCAGTGTTGATAATACTGTTTCTGTGTTTTACTTTTCAACTTTTATAAACAGAGTGTACAGGGACTTCTCCAGAACTTTTGTGGACTGGACTCAACTGTGAAAATTCAGAATGGGGAAGTATTTCAAAAGCACTTGTGCCACAGTTCCTGACACACATTGTTCCACTAAGTTTATTTAGACCAGGACTTTATTCTTTGCATTATAGGTTATTTTTGTTCTTATTGCTTATGCTAGTCATTAAAAGCAATTAAAATATGGCATGAATGTGATACTTCAGTTATAATCAGCCTCTGTTTCAGATTCTCCTCTGAGGTATCACTTACTTGTATTGCAGCTGAGTGCACACCTCCTTGTATGATTAGGGCATTGTAGATTCTCAATGAGGGACACTCTGTAATGGCCACTTACAATATGTCAAAGAATTTAGCTACATGTTTAGTTTAGCCTTACACAAATGTTGTTCCCTGAATTAAAAAAATGATTTTTTTTTAAAAAGTTGAAATAAGAATCATAGGTAGGTTTAACAGAGACCAAAGAGTAATATTGAATAGCGTAAAAGATATGAAACATAAATGGGAAAAGTGGTTTCCAAATTAATACTGAGTGAACTTTGAGCAATCCAATCTGGGAAACTACATCCATGAAGGGAAAAATGTCTGTTACAGATCACCATAAGTCTAGTGTTCCTGTCTACTTTGCTTTTACCAGGTCATTCCCCTGACTTCCTCCATACTACTTGTAACTTTGTTGATGACCTAATTGGTTGTGTCCCTTCTCATTTTGTATTTTTGTGGGGGCTTTTTCAATATGTCAGTTTATAGAATGCTTACTGAAGTTGTCCAAATCTCAGAGGTGATGGGGCAGGGAGCCAAGACAACACCAACAGAGGTTGCCATGGGCATTCTGTTGAGGACCCAAACCTGTCTAATATTGAAGGCAAAAATGTTTACATCTAAGATACACTTTTATGCACTATGCTTTGACAGATATAGGATAAAATCAGCTTGAACAAATGAAATTGCCAGTGATGGATTATCATGGGTTATATCTGTTTTAAGATGGGGTGGGCAAGTTGAAACCCTTTTTGCAGCCTTTGGTGGACTTTGGTGGACTTAAAACTGACAGGATAATTGCTTCCCATTTTGAAATGGGGAACACATGAAAAAACTGTAATTTAAGGTATCATATAGGTATTTCATAGTTAAAAAGCAAACAAGACCTTCAAAGTTATCCCAAATCCTATTCTACTCACACATTAGATGTGGTCCTTAGCCTCTTCAATATCTTAGGTTCAGTTCTTGGTCCTGAAAGGTTGCCCACCCCTGCTTCAAGATAACCATAAGACTATTTGCTTGTTGTAGCCGATTAACACTGCTAATCCATTAGATCTGGTTCTTGAGAATTCAATGAAGAACTCCCTTTATTGTCTGGGCAGCAAAGCAGTCTCAGTCCACAATCTGCCAGAATTATAGAACTGTGGCTGCACACCAAAGATTTGTTGCAACTTTGAGATGGCCTCTGTGCAGGTCTTTAAAATCCCACCATAAACATTTCACGTTAGACAATGAAGGTCATTACCATGTTTAAAAAGGTTTCCCGAATATGGTTTCAGTTAGCCTGTATGAATCAAAGAAGATGCAAGCCACCATTTTTAATAAAATGTTCCACAAACAAAATACGTAAACAATAAGTTATAATATTTTTATTCATGTTAGAATTTCTATCAATGTTTGAACATTAATGTTTAGAGAGTTTGTACAAATTTTCATTTATGATTTAAAATTGAGAACCACACTAGATCACAAAATGGTAATCCTAAAACAGTTCAGAATGACATGCAATATTCCATACTCTCCTTAATACTGTTGACCTTGATTTTGTTTGCAAATGGGGTATCACGAAAAGTGTGCATTGTATTTTATGTCTCAGCATTGTTCCAAAACATAATGGTATCATTGTCACATATAAACTCTTTTAAAAATATAATTCTGTCAAAAGAATTGAGGACTACTATGTACACTACAAAAATAAATTTTCATATAAATAAATTATATGGCATACTTTTATCTTTGTAACTGAAATACAAACCCATTCCTGCTAAAAACAGGCAATGAGAACCAGTCTGAATATTTTTCCTTTCAATTTCTCACTCTAAAAAAAACTACTGAATGAGCTCTTAATGTAACTGTTATATACTCTCTTCCTATTTAACATTAGTAAGCATTCTATACAAATAAAAATTTCAATTAAAAAGTAAAAACATAACTGTAATAGTGTTTCCAATAGAAATAAAATCCCTGCATTTTGTTTGTTATAAACTGGCATGACAAATACTGTAAGAAAACATTCTTATGATACAAAAATATAAATATCAACAATTTATCATTTAAAAACATAGAAGAGCTGATCACTGAAATCTCCTTTTTGCCAATGTGACAAGCGAAAAAGGTCTATACTATACGCAAAGGAGTAGGCAATCCTACAAAAAAAAGCAAAAATATCTCTGACACACAAACACACACACACACACACACACACACACACACACTGAGGAAGGTTAAGGTGAGGACTACTGAAAACTACATTCTTGTACTTTCTCCCCCTTTCTTAAAAAATAATAGGAAGCAACTAACCATAACTTCTGAGTCACCAGTACCTGACAGAAAATACAGCTTACAATTGGTACCAACTTTGCAAGATTGTTTCATTCTTTTTTAATAATCTAATTTTACCAAGATTTGCGTATTTAGATGCTTCTGTGGCAAAATAGGCCTACAGAGTGAGATTTCCTGCCTTTTCATACCACTGAGACAATGAAATACCCAGCTTCTCTTTAGAAAGTTCACATTAGACATGTCCACAATCACTTTGCCTCAATGTATTACTAATGTTGGAGCTGAAAGGGCCATACTGATTAATGTATTACAATATCTAGCAGAGAGAAATGAGAAGTTGTGAGCAAAAGAGAGGTATCACACTATTCAAAGTGACTAAATAGGGAGATTAATTACTGAAATAGTGGTATCAGGCCCACACAATATGGGCCACCAAGGTTTGTATGACACTACTTACTAAAATTAAGTCAAGCTGAATTTAGATATTACATTGATTGATGCAAAATCACTCAAATATATAATTCCTGCTTTAACTCAAATTATATGTAGGAGATCTGTTTGCATGTTATCTCTCATGCTCCTTAGAGTTTTGTTGAAAGGAAGACTTCTCTATGGTGGATATGCTGATGTTGTAAGGGCAGCTCATGCAACATGTGGAAGAAACAGGAATTCCTCTCTTTTCATGAGATTGGGACACAGCAGTGAAAATTTTTTTCAGCCTGTTACTAAGATGCAAAATGTTAACAAAGATGGTAGGGAAGCCATGCTGACTTTGTGCTGTTCATATAGTTACATAAGTCAAAACAAATTATTTTTCTTTGAAATGCAGAAAGACTTAAAGAACATTTAATGAAAGAATAAAACTTTTAATAAATTTTGATGAAGACCTTCAAGTTCATGTAGTTTTATATGGAACACATGACATGTATGAATAATTTGTATAGCTTACACCTTCTGGTACCATTTCAAGGCTTTGCCTTTCTTACTTGATTGCTGACCTTCCTATTTTACCATATTTTCTTTTATACACTTGTTATTCTTTCACTCTAAGACAGTGGTGGTGAGCCTATGGCACGGGTGTCAGAGGCAGCACTCGGAGCCCTCTCTGTGGGCACATGTGCTGTTGCCCCAGCCTTGCCTCTGCCCATGACCCCCTCCTCACCAGTAACCCCCTAGAGGAGAGTCTCCCCGAGCGTGGCCCATGCAGAGCAGCGCAGCCAGGCAGCGTAGACAAGACTCTGCCCTCATGCCCTAACACACAGTTGATGCTGCGGGGTGCGGGCAGAGGGCATGGCTGCCCTAGTGCTGCTGGGCTGCCTGGGTGATCTGCGGGCGCTGGAGACAGTGAGTGGTCCTGTAGGCAGGCAGGTTGGGGTGGAGTGGGGGCAGGACAGGTTCAGGGGCAGTTTTTGGGCACTTGGTCTCTAAAAGGTTCGCCATCACTGCTCTAAGAAATGAAAGCCATAAAAAAATAGTGTTAAATGAACCATCTTACTTTCTTGCTGGACTATGCCTAATTTGGTAACTTTTCATTATTACACATCCCAGTATAACAAATTTGAAAAATACTACTCATTATTTAAATATCTAAATTATTAATACTTCGGGTGTATTAAGATAGTGTTTCTCAGCGTGGTATCTTCCTGATTAAAAGGCCTGTATAGTACACACACCAGGGTTGCCAGCTTGGAGAAGACAACATTAAAAGGGATGTTTTTCAGTTCGGATAATCTGAATGGAAATATTCTTTGACTAAGTTGAAGGTTTCATAAAATGCTAGGGACAGAAAAGATCAATTGTGTTACATATTGCATATTGCAGCCATGACCATATGTGATCATGATGATCAAGTGCAGTTCTAAAACATACCAAACCTTTCACTATTTAGCTTCCAGCATTTCTTTCTTATTCTGCTTTGAGTAGGTGGGATGATGCAGTGAGGACAACAGGCTATTTTATTCTCACTGGAGATATAGCCATGTTACAGATCAACAGAGGCAATTTCTGTAGTTTGCTCACACCCAAATACAATACATCAGAAGACTAGAACCTACCAATGCTGTCTGCCAAGCATTCCACACTTTTTTTTTTTGATGGTGATATTAACAATTGCTAAGCTCCATTATTATTGGTGGTTTGTCACACAATCAGCCAGCTGTTTAGATTGGTTGTGGAATTTTAGTATTAATTATTATTGACTGATTGCAATCTTACAAACATTTGCTCACACAGGGAAACTTGCACTAATGCCGACTGAACTGAAAAGTACAAATCTGTAGCCTTAGCCAGCATTGGTAGATTATTAAAAGCAAAAGGGATTATACAACAGATAATTTTCTGGCCAAAGCTCTTACATATGAGCCATTAGTTAGATATGAGAGTTATAGGTAAGTCATATACTTTCAGTGCTACATTCATTTCAGCAGGGCATATGTTAGAAGTTCACAATAATCTGTTCTCCACACAACAGTTACAGTACACAAACCACACAGCTATGCCTACTTCAATCATTAGCATTAAACACACTGCTCTTCATATCTGCTCATTAAGGAAAAAACAGAAAAGAAACATTATCACGCATAGCGTGTTTGAAAGTTAACAGAAGTATTCCATACTACCACAGGGCTGTGATATGAAAATTTTAAAATAGTTTAACACACCCTCTCTCTCACGCACACACAAATATATATATTTATGAAACTTTACACAAAAATATCCTAATACATTATCAATATTTGCATAGAATTATACATGTAAATCATACAATTTTTAAGCAGCAGCAACATATGCTGAAATTTATGACTAGTTTAAGCTTAATTGTGGCATAGAAATTCAACGTACAGTAAGTACAGAGTACAAACAACAGTCCCCACTCTGTTAAACAGGAGTTTAACACAACTCCAGATTATACTACTTTACAGTTTCTCTCGTATATTACAGATGTGTACATCTTTTAAATATTTATAGAAATAATTCACAAAATTTTACAATAGATTACAGTAAAGGGGAATATTTGTCCTGGTGCAGCATTGTCCTTTTTTCCCCGCAACTCGAAGTAGTTTCTCTTCAAGCGTTTCTGGAAAGACGAGGTCTCCCATCTTTGGCCTCTTTCTTTGCTTCAGTTATTTCCCTGTACAAATAAAGACAAAAAAGGAGCCCCCCTCTTCACTTAAAGTTCAGCAAAGATAAATAAATCATCTCAGCCAAAGCCATTCAGCAAGACTGCAATTAAAAGTCACAAGACTCTGTATGTGTGTGTAAAACACAAGTTATATATATGACTCTGGACTTTTCTGAGTGCTTTAATATGGACACAGAAAATTCCAAGAAAAGCAATTTAACCACCTCTGTTGTTTAGGCGTTCCCTTATTAAAATAATGAAATTGTATTTTTTCCTCATATCGTACTGCCATCCTATATTCCATAACTTCCTTCAGGAATCCCAGTATGCTGAGCCAGGACTATGTGCTTGAGGCTTCACTCACAGATTTCCCCTCACCCCTCCAGTGCTTCAGTATAACGTTAAAGGGGAAATAGAAAGTATTTTCTTGTTTCTCTTTTAAACTAATTTATCAGCACGTTCAAACTGGGTTAGCTAAATCACAGCAAAGGCAAGCAGCTTTTTCCTTCTTAATCCACAATCACCCTGGCTGCCATCAAGTGAACCCAGAAAACTGAGATTTTGTCCCAATATAGAGACCTTAAATTTGAGTCTAGACTCAAGCCCCTTTTTGTTTTTTGAATTCATATAGTTGCCCTTCTCATCTGCATGTTCCCCTGTATTTTAGAAATTCCTTAATACAATAAGAAATTGCTTAAAGCTACAGGAGGCTATAACAACAGCAGTAGCACTTAGACTTACAGCATAAACTGCTTCACAGTGCTTTACAGCAGGGCTTTTCAACCTTTCCACCCATTGTACCACTTTTAGGATATGGCAATATCCGAGTTCTACCAGTCGCCCAGCAAAGTGTCAAAAACGTGATGACCCCCCCAAAAAAGGAAAAAAGTGATGAAGTACAGGTAGCCCTCGACTTACAACAGTTCCCTTAGTGACTGTTCAAAGTTACAATGGCACTGAAAAAAGTGCCCCCCAAGCCACAGCCGAGCAAGACATCTGCCTGCCCACCCGGCGGCGCTCTTCCTCCTTTCCGAGGTTTTCATTGTTGTGAGCATTTCTGTTGAGGATTGGCAGTGGGGGTGGGGTGGGGATGTTTGTTTCCCCCATCTGCTGGGTGGTTGCAGCAGGTTTTGGTCACTTCACATGACCCTGGGACACTTTGACCGTCATAAATATGAATCAGCTGCCATGCATCTGAATGTAAATCACATTGGAGATGCTGCAACATTCCAGCTGATCGGTGCTTCTTCTGGGCTCAGCAGAAGCGCCAGGATCAGTGCTGCTTTCCAGCTGATTGGTGCTTCTTCAGGGCTCAGCAGAAGCACCAGGATCAGCGCCGAGCTCCAGCTGGAGCCTGGCGCTGATCCTGGCGCTTCCACTGAGCCATGACAGCCCGAAGCACTGATCCTGGTGCTTCTGCTGAGCCCTGACAGCCCTGCAGCTCCAGCCATCTCTCGCTCAGGCTTGTGCTGTGCTGCCACCAGTTCAGCTCATTCCCCTCACCTGCTACTTTTCTAGGATGGTCGCGTACCACCTGCCAGGTGCCAATGTACCACAGGTGGTACCCGTACCACTGGTTGAAAAGCCCTGCTTTATAGCACTTTCTAAGCGTTTTACAGAGTCAGCATATCTCTCTTAATAATCTGGGTCCTCATTTTACCAACCTTAGAAGAATGGAAGGCTGAGTCAACCTAGAGCCAGTGAGGACTGAACTCCTGGCGGGTGAGCTGAATTAGCCTGCAACACTGCATTCTAACCATTGCGCCACCATGGCTCAATGCCAAGAGATGGGTACGAAGTGCACGTAAGGCAATTATGCACGCTGGCAGGCGGTGTGAGTAATGCTACCCACTGGGGGATAGAAAGCGTTACCTTAAACTGAGCCCTCGCCATGAGTCTTTTCTTCACATTCAACATCTTGCAGTTCTATGATTTCTATTTTAGAGTTCCTCCTCTCACACCGGACATTAAATGGCACATGAGGATCCTCAAATTGTCCATGCTCAGCTTCATGGTGTCTCTCATAGGCTGGAAAGCTTCCTCCGTGAGGATTGTGGCTGTGCCCAGCAGGATGTACAGCTACAGTAACTGAAGCTGAGGCAGTCACGGTAGTGATAGGCTGGCAGCATGATGGCACAGAAGAGCCTGTGGCGGTGAAGGCTGGATTTCTGATGTTCTGAGAACGAGTTCTCTGACCAGAGCAATCCCTGTTACTAGAACAGGAATGCCCTTTAGTAAAAGTTTCAAAGGCATCTCTACGTGGCCGGTAAGGGGGTGGTTGAAGTCTTTCCCTTGGTTCTCTTTTCAACTTCTTGCTCTTATGCCATGGCTGTTGGATTCCAGGGTCTTGATTAGACTGTAGCTTTGGGCTTGATGGATAACAGCTTGATTCTGGTTGGATCACCTGAAAGAAAAAAAGGCAGGGAAACCCGTGAGCAATATTGTGAACTAAAAGCTTTTATCTGGTTCATGAAATAGTTATTGTTGCATTAATTAAATGTACTTTGCCACAGCAAATCTGACAAAGTTACTTAGAAGCCTAGGTGCATTCTTGCTCTGTAGTAGCCCTTTTACTTCATAACAAGCAATGAAGGGCACCATCGCAGTGAAACAAAAGTTCGTGCATGCATCCACAGAATTACTTTCCACAACTTTATTCAAGTGTGCTCTCGTTAATCCACTTAAGTAGAGTTTCTCCTTTTGCAAAAAAAGTGGAATGGAAACATCTTCTCGTGTGGCTCCATAAGTAAACATTCTTGGGTTTTTTTTTGCAAGAGATACAGTTCAAGTAGATAATATTAATGAGATTATTAATGAGATTTAACTGATAACTGAATTTTTTAAGCATGTACAGAATCTTTTCAAATTAAACACATTTGATCTAAAAGGGTATTTCTACTCAGGGGCATCCACAGGTGGGGTCAGTAATATCAAAATGTCTGGCACAGCCAGACAATCAAACTCCTGCCCCTTTTTAATGTATGTTGTTCTCATGTAAACAGGGTGGGCCTTCAATTG